CGTAAAAAGTAAAACAAATGGTGAAGTTTTTGCTTGAAAATACAACTCTAACATGAAAAAGTTTCAAATAAGCTGATCTGACTTAAAACCTAATTTGAACTCGATTTTCTGTTAAAAAAGAGGTTAATTTAATTTTTTTTAATTAATAAAAATTAATAAACAAATAAAGTATTGTCACTTACATGCTGATTAAAGGAACATTAGGGTTCACTGTGCCTATAGCTCTGTCTGTCCTACAGCTTTGGAGTAGATGTTCCTAATTGCTCACGTGGAGATACTGGAAATGTGACTGATTATCCAGCTTTCCCACCATCCAGGTACAACACATTTAGTACCACAGGCATGGAAACAGCAACAGATTTGTCAGGCAACTCTGACGACCTGAAAGCTCTCAAGGCAATGGCAAAGCAGCTGGGTCAGATACACAAATGTGGGTAACAAAAGCTGGTAGGAGAACTCATGACCTACTAAACAAACATCTGGGGCCAGACCCACGTGTTGCAATATGTGAAGATACTAAAATAGCCAACTCTAATGACAATTAGTGAGGTTGTGCACAGTGTGATAATCACAAGGAACGGTGTTTGCTGACCAATGCTGAAAAGCTATTTACAAGCTGGACTAAACTGAGCCATGAATTTGCAGAGAAGCAGTTTATTTTTAGTTACTGTAGACTGTTGTGGTTGTGTCACAGAACACGTGATTTTGCTGCAGGGCAAATTCAGGAGGAGCTGTGCATACAATCAAGATTTACAGAATCTGTGCATACAGCAGATAAGCCAGCTCTCACAATCCCACCTGAGAGTTTCTGGTTCTCTTGTCTTTATTACTGATCTTTGTAAGCATATTCATTAGTTTATTGCTTGCTTTGCTTATCACAAAGGATTAGTCTGAAAAGACAACGGTTTCATTTCAACTAAGGAAGGCCCTAAACATTTGGCATCCAGTTTAACAAGCCACTCAAGGCTGCAAGCAGCTTTGGAGAAGTGCTTTCTTAACGTGTAGCAATGGATGACGATATTGCATTTCACCATGATTAGTCATCCTTTTGGTAAATGGGTATTAATCCTCACATTGCTGTTGCTGTTTTAGATCTGTAGCTATGACACTAGTGCTGATCTGGTCCCCAGATGATAAGCTTCCTGGCTGACTGCTTCCTTCAGACAACCAGTATCAAGTGACAAGATATGGTATGTAATGTCTGAGTTTCTGGAACAGGAACTGGCCCCTTCTGAGCCGAAACTGTTGGTGTTTAATTTGTATGTGGACTTGAGAGATTCACTGGAATGTCTTCAATGAAGGCAGTCCTGCCAGAGATGGGGAAGTGAAATGCTAAACACCGTGGCAAAGCTATTCTTAAATCATGATCTAAGTTAAAAAAACTACAGATTATAAAGCAATACAGAATTCAGTATCAATAACTTTGCAATTACCATAACTACTGCAAGCGTTACTACTGCTAAGTTCAAATGTTTGTTGCATAAAGTGAGAGGAGCACAAGACAATAAATGCTTATTGGCATCCAGCTTTGCATATAATGTGTGTCAGTGATGCTAGAAACAGGCTTTCAGAGAAGTGGATATTTGAGGCCCTAAGGAAAGCCTCATCAGATAACTATGAATTTTTAGTAATATGGTCTTAATCTCTATACATATTTCTTATTTCTTGCCTATATCCCAATTAGATTGCAATAATTCTGGTGCCCAGATGACAGCTGTGTGAAAATTGTATCAGAATTATGCACAAGAAACTACTGCATTATTGCTTACTCGTTTTAGATCCACAGAATTGGATCAAAGCAGTTAATTAAAACATGTCTTGTGCTGCCTTAAGCAAAACAGCAGGAAGTTTCAACTTCAGATTTAGATCAGTGATTTCAGTGGTCAGATACAAGAAGAGCTGGCAAGGCTGATTTACAGCCAAGACTATACCACAGCTTGGCCAAGCAGCAGATCTGGCATTATTCAGCAGAAAGGGCAACAAGATGGGATTGTTGCACCTCTTCATTCAGCAATGGCACCAGAGCAGTGGAAATCATGCTTCAGTTCTGTCTACAGGAAAAATAATCTGGCAGCTTTATTTTTAAAATCACATCCTTCCTGTACCCTGTCAAGGGAGTAGGAAGATGAATTCTAAGGGTAAATGGTTGGAGAATCATAATTTTTCCTCTCTGTTTTCTCATGTCATTAATAGATAATCCATCAAATAATGGATGACTTAATCAGGACAGATCTGCTGTTTTTAAATGTGAAGCTTTTCTATCATTTCTTTCTGGTTGTTCATGCTAGGAGAACCATTACTGGCAGTGAATGGTTACTCTCCTTGTAATTCTTTACATGAAGTGCCAAATATTTGGGGAAAAAGAAATCTATCATTACCTCTTTTGACACCACGTTGCTGTCTCACTCTCTAGGGGAGATGATATGATTTACATGCTTAAATATTTTGCTGTAGTGTGAAACAGTGCTTTGCAGTCTGGCAGCTGTTACTAGCTGTTATGATGATCAAATAACACTATGGGAGCTGGTAATTAAGGAAGTAATACTATGAGGACAGTAAAGCACTAATATTTAGGTTTGGATTAATTTAGCAATTCTGTCAACCAATTGCAACCCTGGGGGATCATTTGCAGTTTTAGACTAGATATGCTACTTCTGTTTCACATGGTAAATCCATTAATACTCCTGTCTTCCACAAGCATATTACCCCACATACAACCAACCTGCACATGAAAAAAAGAGGTCTCTTTTTCCTCAGTGATCATGCTAAGCAGGGCTTGTACAGTGAGGAGGGTGCACACTTGGGGTGGGAGATGTTTAGTATCAAAGAGCTGGCCTGCCTGGGAAGGGGACAGTCTGTGACCCTGCTCTGTGGAGGCAGGGAAGGACACCTTGTTTGTCTGGCTGGCACATGGACAGCCTCTAGGGGAAGGAGTTCAGGTAAGTAAATGGGCAGCTGCAGCTCAACAGAGAGAACAGCAGCAGCCAGGAAACCTCAGCCCCACCAGAGAGCACAAGTGGCTGAGTGGCTGGTGGGGTGAAGACACTGGAAGAAAATGGGAACTGAGAAAGAAGAGGATTTTATGCAAGATAACGTGTGAGAGGGCTGACTTGAAGTCATCATTTCTCTATTGTGAGGGGGTTTTTTTGTTGGGGGTTTTTTCCCTACCAGTTCCATATTGGTGTGGAGCAATAGTGTAAGCCATGATGCTGTCAATCACGGGGCATTTATCTTCACAAAGTAGTTTCTGAAAGGGAGGGTGTATTTGTAGTCTCTCTAACCTCTTTCTCTTTTTTTCCCCCCCGTCCCCTCTGTCACACACAGAATTTATTTGGGGATAATTTCAGTTGAAGATATTAGCTCCCAAATGAACATTGCAAAGCCTCTATCACAATTTGTTTGTTTTTTTTTTAAGCCAAGTGTTTGGAACCAGGGTTCAAGGTAACCCACTTCCTGGTAGTTTCGACCCCAGGCTCTGCTCTTGTTCACACAATCAAACTGCACCATACTTTCTCATGAATTTGGCACCTCTTGACATCAGACTGTTTGACAACTGCATGTCGGTATATTTGTTTATATTGAACAGAGCTAGTGCTCACCCAAGCAGAAACAATACAGCAGTGTTACCTAGGCCTGCCTCTGCAAGCTGTTAATGATTGGGTTATTAGCTCTGAAGCATTTTGTGATCAGGAGTTTTGCAGTAATAGTACATGAGAGGAAGTGTATTATGGCTGTGTTTATTTTTAATTATTGTAGATGCTTTTATGTGCACTCACTTAAAAGTAGCCTAGAGAACAAAACTGTACTGTCTGACAGTACAACCAAAGTGCTGAAGCTACTATAGAGTGGGTCTGGAAGAAAAATAAGGTGACATTAAGGTTTACTTATTTTACACACTAAGGCCATATTGCAGTATGTAAAATATGACTAACAGGCTGTCAAATGTACATCAACTTCTGAACTTCATTTAGCTTCTTTGGTGGAAAGTTGCTGCTTTAGGAACAAAAGCGAATAAATCCAGCATTCATTTTTGGGGCTAAACTGACATCTGCTGGTGTTCTGTAATACAATATGTGCAATTAGCGTGATGACCAAACATACACTGTATTCTGTGTACTTTTCCCTTTCCATGGTGCTGTTGGCAGCCCTGGTGATGACTCAGGAGAGCTCAGAGAGGTGTAACAGTGGATGGAACAGGTGGGGCTGCCCGGCACATCCTGCCACGGGACTGGTGATGCAGCAGAGCTGCTCGTGGTTACCTCGTACTGCGCTCACACTTTAAGCTTATGAAATTGCCACGTGGCCTATTTTTTCTTATAATTTTTTAAAAATAAGTAATTTTTGTAATCTTCAGGTACACAGCTCATGGGGGCAGGGGGAGAGGTAAAAAAGATGTAGCAATTTCTAGCCAGGCTTCCTCATTCACGCCTTGAGCTGGCGCCAGCCGTGTCCCCACCCAGTCACCTGCTCTGCTGCAGGAAGAGAACTGCCGTGGGTTCCTACACGGGCAGCAGCTTTGGGGGAGCTGTGCTGCTTTGCTGGGGGAGCATCTTGCCTACCCTAGCCAGGCTGGCAGGCTGCAGCTCTGTTCCATCAGAGTCTGAAATCTGGCAGAAAATAACCTCCTCTGCATTGGAGATCAGAGGGGCTGGAGGCAGCTGGGCTTAATTTCTGATTATTATCAATTTGGCGTTGTAAGTCTGGTTGTGTTTAATAAGAATATTCACAATCATGGATTCACAAACAGAGCTGTTTTACTGAAGAAGCAGCCCCACCCTTCACCCCAGACACCATGCAGTTTTTAAGCCTCACTCAAGGGAGGTGTAAGATAGGCAAGCGGCTCGACTCAGCCCCATGGATTTCTCCATAGCAAACCTGCCATTTTTCCACAAACTTGCCACTGAAAATTGGGATTAAAACTCCTTAACACCGATGTGGTATTAAGAAGCAGGCATTACTTTATTACAGCTGTCAATACACGGAGGGAAACTCTGCCTTACATGCATGGTTGGCTCAAGATAGCACACGTACTTATTAGCCAGGATATAAATATTCATCAGAAAAGTGTTACAATTTGTTACTTTGGGCGGCCACAGAGCCCCTAAAGTGGATTGGGCTGACTTGACTTGTTACTAAACTGTCACAGTTCCACTGACCATTACATAAGGTTCTGTTAACTGTGATGTCTGTGCTGTTTGCAGCAAGCTCCCAGATCCTGTGGTGACCTGGCCAACCACTGACTGACTTTTAAAAGTGATTCTTCTTTTGCCCAGTGCCATCCAGCAAAATGCCTGGAAAGGCAGGAACTGGAGAATGGTGAGCTGAGTGGGAAGGAGGGCGGTTAGTGAGAGGAAATACACTCCTGTAGTGGTACGTGGATGCTGACTGCCTGCTGTACTGGGACACTGGATGGAAACAGTGGTCAGGCAAAAAGGAGAAATGTTGCTGGGGTCCCCAAGGAGGAGCATGAGCCAGCCTCTGATTAGATGCAAGAAAAAACACGGGAGAGAGCATGGCAATTGGAGTAAGAAGGCTTCCAGTTGAAGGTCATGCCTTATTTTGTTCTGGGAGATGTGTTCAGTCATGGTATCCCTCTCCTCTGGCTTCTAAGCTGCTCATAGCCACCTTGAGAAGGGGATTTAGTTACTAAGAGAAAAATTATTCCATTTTAATCCAGGGCACCAAAGCCAAAATTACTCATGTTCTGCTCCTGAGAAAAATAATATATAATGTGATTTCTTGAAAATGATGTAAATTTATTCACCTCTATGTCTAGTTCTAATCCCACTGAATGCTGCTGAATCACAGTTTATACCTTCTCCCTGTTCCCCCTGAGTCAGGGAATGGGAGTATTCATGCCCTCAATACTCCAACATCGATGACATCCCCAAGCACCAGTAGCTGCAGGTGATTCAGTAATTAATGTGACCGCAGAGCTTGATGTTGGGCTCACTGTCACTGGGATAAGAGTCCCTTTTGTCCTATAAAACCTGACTCCTTGCTCCAGGATGGGTTTGAATTGAAGCTTTGTGCATGTTACTTAGGGAGAGGTCCAATAAAGGTTTTAAATACAAAAATAGGACTTTAACCGATTTTAGATGCTTTCAGCCAAAAGGCCTAATGCACAATCCCTGCTGAGCCCACAGGGGTCATTGACTCCCTTCAGTCTGAGGTAGATTTACCCAAACTACAGCATATGAAGCCATCCCTGTTGAATCCCTTTCAGGGATTTGGCCAGTAATTCACTTTTTGTGTTATCTTGAAGCTGGATAGAGAAAGGAGTGACATACTCCATGTTTTCCAAAGACTGAATCCAACTTAATTGCTTGTAAAGGCACTAACTAAAATCACTGAATCTGTTGAAGGTTTTGTTGATCATTTTATGTGCTCTTGCACGTTGTCTGAAATAACCGATTTGGTAACCTACGGAACATCGTAGAATTAGGGGAGGGTTTTTTTCCTCAAGTGTTACAGAACATGGAGCCTGGAAAGCTGAAGACCACTGGTTTGTCAATCTGTGAGCGAACTCTTGGCAAGAGCCGCGGAGTTCCCGGTCCCGGGGACTGCCAAGTGCGTCAGGAGTGATTGTCCTTCCACCCAGTTTTCCCGTTCCCGTTCCCCGCCGCCCGCGCCCAGACGCGCCTCTCCCGCTGCCGGTGGGTCCGCGGGAGCGCTCGGGCGAGGCGGCTCCTCCGACAGCCGCGGGAAGGGGAGGAGGAACCGCGGGTGGGGACGGGACGGGACAAGCCCTGCTGACGGGGGTGCACCCGGCGAGCGGAGCGGAGCGGAGCGGCGAGCAGAGCGAGGAGGGTCGGCGGGCACGGCCCAGAGCGGTAAGGGCTGTGCCCGGAGCCGGGCGCGGGCAGAGCAGAGCAGAGCAAAGCAGAGCAGAGCAAAGCAGAGCAGAGCAAAGCAGAGCGGGGGGCTTTGCTCCCGGCCCCGAGCGCTGCCCTTCCCGGGCCGCTCCCGGCGCTCCGTCCGGGCCGGGGGAGCCCCCGGGGCACCGCGGGCTGGTTGGGGCTTGGGCACAGCGGAGACCCGGGCGGGCGGCCCCGGGACGGTCCGGACAGCGCAGGGAGCCCGCGGGCGGTGGCTCCTGCCCGGGGGGAGCGGGCTCGGGGCCGGCCAGGCAGGAGTTTCGTTTTCCCGAGTGTTTTGGGCGGCAGCCGGAACAGCCCCTTGGCTCAGGGAATGCGCTCGGGAACGGCTCATTTGGGACGGGCCCTGCCCTGCCCCGGGGAGGGGGTGTCCGGCCCCAGCAGCACCCGGGGTGAAGCCGCTCGCGGGGTTATTCCGAGGCTGTTGATTACTTGGTTTATTTCGGGGAGAACTCAGCGTGTGGTGCTATTTCTACTTTACCGGTATAAAATTCTGTGCGACCTCAGTGCCATTGTTTGTCTTACTAAAATAATAGTATGTCAAAGTTGTTCGTTGTTTTTTTTTTTTTTTTTTTTTTTTTTGTAATTATTACTGAATTTTATTCTCTCAGAAACGCCTGAGAAGTTTAAACGACTTTAAGATAATATTTCTCAGCAAGTTGGCCAACTAGGAAGTTGTTGTCCAGAATTCAGATAACCAGGGTGGTGGCCCAAGTGAGTGCTGTGTTAGGGCTTGCTGCCGTGAACTGGAAAAGTCCCCAGTACTCCAATAAACCTGTATATCCTGCTGGATTTTTAACAAAAATTCGCTTCAACCTGTGTTTCATTCCAGGTACTGATCGGTAGCTGTCTTAAACTCTGCTGTGCAGGGAGCCCCTCTAATTACACGTGGTGTTGGAGGGCAGCTTGGCATTTCTAGTGAAGAGAACTGTATAGAAATTGTTTAATTTAAGGATTAAATTGTGTTAATTCTTAGCAAGAGATTATGGGAAGGGCAACAACAGATTTGTTTGGCTAAACTGGGTTAGGAAAGCTGTATTTGTAAGCAGTTCTTTACTGTGTGGGTTGTTGGTTGGTTGGTTGATTGGTTTGTTTTTTGCATACCAAGCAGAGAGGTGAGTTATTACCTTCTTTTTCCCTTGTCCCCTGCGTAATATCCAAGTAGTGACCCCGATTGAGACACATGCTTGCACTGACTGTATGAAGTGATAGTTCAGTCTCTCAGTTCACATTTAAAGCAGAAGGGACATTAGAAAAATGAAGTTGAAAAGCTGAAGTTGTGGTTACCTCCACAATACTCAGTATTTTGAAGAGGTTTTTTGTAGTCCTGATGTCCTCTTGATCTTTATTAGGAGTTTTTGTTTTGATAGATAACTTACAGGGACTCATGTGCTTTTAGTTTTATACTATTCACTGTAGTACTTTGTAAATGTTATATGTATTACAGTTTTGAAACTTTAACTTTAAAAAAAGGCAGGCATAGGAGAGGTGGTTGCCACAAAGTGCTGTGAAGACCTGAGACCTGTTTGCATCTGTCTTCAGTAAAGGGGGAAAAAAAAAAAAGGAAAGTGCAGAAAAAGCACAGCAACCATTGTTAAATAGAAACAGTTGTTCAAAAGCAAGCAGTGGTAAGAAGTGAACATACAACATAATTTAAAAATTAGTATTGAAAGTTAAATATCGAGGCTAGAAGTGTTCATGTTGGAAGTTATGATCATGATCATTTTGAAGTCTGTGAAAGGGTGTTGATTTCTTAGGACTCACCCTTCGGTGACGGTGACGCAGAGCTGAGGATGGTCTTTGAGCAGAAGTAGCTGTGTTGTGGTTTAACCCCCTCCTGGCACCAGCAGCTGCTCGCTCACTGCTCCCTCAGCAGGACCGGCTGAAGAGAACTGCAAGGGGTAAAGTGAGAAACCTCATGGGTTGAGATAAGAACTGTTTCATAATTCAAGTAAAATAATAATAATAATAATAAAAGTTGTAATGAAAAGGAAAATTACAGAGAGAAATAAAACCCAGCAAGTGATGCAAATGAGAACAATTACTCACCACCAGCAAACTGACGCCCGGCCTGAGCAGCATTTCCCTCCCAGCCACCCTCTTCCTAGATTTATTGCTGAGTGTGATGCTGTATGGTCTGGAATATCCCAGCTGGGGTCAGCTGTCTCAGCAGCATCCCTTCCCAGTTCCTAGTGCACCCCCAGCCAAAACCAGCCACTGTGACTGGGGGCGATAGATCCTGATTCAGCTCTGTAGTTTAGTCACAAGGGGAAAACTTTTCTAAAGAAAACAGAAGGTCAGTGGTTTTTAAAAGTATAGCTGTGGGATACTTGATAATACAAAAACTGTCACTAAAACTTACTCAGTTTAGACGTCTTTGGCTGCTGTCTTGTTCCCTTGTCAGTCTGCCAAAGCTGCAGTGTGAGTGTGAGAATGGTGGGAAGGAGCAGTGCCTGTCCCCAGGGTTACCAAATTACTGTCCCTGCCTACACACTGTGCATGTAGCCACGTCTGTCCTTCCGCACAAGCTTCTGGTTACTTAGTTTGTCTGAGCTACTGTAAATCCCACACTTGACTGAGTACACAGTTCCCTTTCTAACAAACCTTTTCGTTTCCGCTTAGTCTGCTGGGAAGACTGTTGGACTACTGAAATGTATAAACATTGGTGTTTGCTGATGTATCACCACGCCTCCAGTGCAGCAGATTAGCCCTGTGTAACCTGGAAGGGTGAACAAACTTGTGACAAGGTCTCTGCAGAAGTGTTTACGTCACTGAAATCCTGATGAAAGCTGTGCTGCATAAGGAAGGCAATCGCCGATATTCCAGAGACTTTTTCCATGCTCCAAGCATGGAAAGCAGAAAGGCGTGTGCCATTTTTGGGAACCCCGGATGGAGTGACTCCAGCCCTAATTGGATACTTAAGACTGAAATTCTTTTTCTTTGCACATTGACTTTTGTCCCTGCAAAGTTCTCTGTAGGCTGAAAGGGCTTTTTGACTTGAGAAGCTTAGTCAGCTAAAGTGTAAAATTAAGAGGTGCTCCCTGGAGCCTGTTTTGAGAACTTTGAAGAATGACCATGGAAATGTGTACAGGAATGGGCTTGGTTGGAGAAGAGCAGACATGGATTGCAAGTGGATTTGGTTTTGTTGCTTAGAAATAACACTTGCTTTGTTTTTGAGGTTTGCAGTCTGGAGATGTGTGTCCACAGAGCCTTATCCC